AAGTGCTTTCGATTCTCTTGGATATTTACATCGATGTGACAGCGTACCTTCAGATACACGATAACTCAACAAACACTCAATGAAAAACTCACCCTGTATGTATATACTCCATGCCAGCTCCCGTAAAATGATCGACTTTTTTGAAGCCGATCATTTTCAATTCCTTGATAACATCCCACTCGAAGATATTTCCAAGCATAGTTGTTGAATATCGTATAACCACGGAAATAACTTCACTTTCGGTGCAAGTCATTTTGAAAAATAAACTTTTGGGATAAAAATGAACATTTTGCGTATTTTATATATTAAACTGATAACTCCTTTTCGTTATTTTTGCTGGGAACTTTTTGTCGAGAAAACGTGTAAAAATTACTTGAATCATTTACTACGTATAAGAAAAATCATTATTAAGGAACATGGCAAGAAACCTATTTAGAATGTATGAAAAAAAATTTTTTTAGTCGATATAAATATATTTTCGATATGTAGCATATTGAGACTTGCTTTAAATAGAAATTGAGCACACAAATAGCAATTACACCATAAACGCTTATAGGCTTTCTATGAGGTTTTAATATGATCGAACTTAGTTTAGGATATTCTGAAGTTATGCATGCGGAATTTCTATGACCTTTCCTTTTAAAGTTTGTTTAACACGAATTTCAAGCACGTATCGGTATAAGTATTTTGGGGTTGCAATAATCATGAAAATGTACTATATATGTGTCTATACACTGAAATTATAAGGTTTCGGTCTAGAGTTGATTTCCAAAATATTTGTCGAGATTGAGGTTAGCGTTAGGATACTAATCCTAGAAAAATGAAAAATGGCACATTGTACTTGTGCCCCGTAACATAAATAAATATGCATAACGATAAGGCTTGTAAGGTGATACAAATAAATTATTCATGTGTTCTTCAAATTTATTAGAGAGAATGGCATTTACAAATACGTAGCGGTAGCGTTTATAAAATAAAATATATACAATAAAACATGAATTTCGTCATCTACAAAATTTAAAATCTAAAAATTTATCGTTATTATTATTATCGTTATAAAGAATGTGAACCGAGTTCACAACGTCACGTGTTTAGCAGTAAATATTTATTTTGCGAATTTAATCAATATATATCGATATTGATGATACCGTAAAAAATTTAAACCCTTAAATCATTTCAACTAAACAGATCACAAATCTTCAAGTTCTTATATAGATCTTAGGATTTTTTCTATTGCTCATTGCAAAAATTAAAAATTCGGTTAGTTACACGAATAAATGTAATACAAATGTGCAATGTATGTGTCATAAGTTAATTATACCTAATACGGGATAACTATGGGATTTTTTTTATATTATAATAGATAACATTAACATCCACTCTGCAAACAAAAAAATATGCGGGGCTGGTTTTCACGATAATCCTAACACGTATGCAAATATCAGTACTATTTGGAGTAATATATAAAGTAGTATAGTAGGAAAAATAAGAATAGTAACGTAGGGCAATTTTAAGTTCTTATACGTATATTTAATAAACATACTTATCAAACTTATAAGTAGAAAAGATGACCATACTTATAAGTATAGTAAGTATGAGGACGACCATACCTGTATGTATGGATTATTATATCTGTGCAAAAAAAATTTGAAGCGAACATTTCATGTGACATGAGTACTAACTGATCGTAGGGAAGATCGGATGTATAATCTAGCGTGATGGGTGATAAATTAGTGATTAATTAAAAAGTATAAGGTAGCGAAAGTGAA